ATAGGCGGCGGAAAAAGCAGAAGGACGAGGGGAATCAGTACAAATCAAGAGAGCAGTAGGGTTATAATCCCCAGCAAAAGCTGGAGGAGGGGGGGGGGGAGGGCAGAGATGGCCATAACCACGAAAGTGATCCAAGCACCAAGCATCGGCTCCTGGAGACATACACTAAGCAGTGAAAACTGTATTATAATAAGTTGGAGTTCAGGAAGTTAGCATAAAATCCACGAATATTTCCTTGAAGAATAGACATTGTCGAAAGGAGAGAGAGCAGAAACAGAGAACAATGAAGAGACAAAGGCAAAGAAGAACACAGAATACTAAAGAAGGTCTTTATCAATGCCATCAGGGTTAGGGGGCATGGGTAAATTAAGCAATGACGATGGAGGCAAGGGAGTGGGAGGACGGACCAGAGGCGGACGGACAGGGTCCAGAGCTGGAGGAGGCAATGGAGAGGGGCGGTCAGGGAAATCAGGAGCAAGGGGGGGGGGCACAAACAGAGGAGCGCACCTCAGCAAGCACAGCACCCGAGAGAGAATCGAGGGCTAAAGTAACCTCCAAAGCCGGGACAGGGGGCTCGACCACTAAAATGGGAGGAGGATACAGTGATAGTCGGAATCGAAGGGTGGGGAAGAAAGCGCAGCAACTTACTGGGCGATAGTCTCCATAGTCTCAACAGGAGGAGAACGGGAGCGATCAACATGAAGATTGCTGGGAGGATGATGGACAACAGCCTGGACAGACAGGGGGCATGGAGAGCCAAGAGACAGGGACAGGACTGGGAAGAAAGATCAAGAGGAGACGGGAAAGAAGACACAGGATACACGGCAGACTGGGAAGGAAGGAGGGAAAAACCAGACGGAGAACCAGGAGAGTCCCTATCTCCCCCCCCCCCCTCCTTGGTTCAGAACGTACAGGAGCAGGGAAAGAATCGGTGGGCATGTCCAGATCCAAGGCCTGAAAACGGTGTCACACTGAGAAAGGAGTTAAGGTCGAGAAGAGTTAGAACACAACGCACAAGAATAAGATAAGTTAGTAAAATAGGAGAGACTTGGCTAGACTTGGCGTCTCGCCTCAGGAAAAGATAAACGCAACCCGTCCTCGACTCAAATCCTTTACATCCAGAGGTTGACCCCACAGACACATTCCTAAAATTTTGACATGCTGTTCATTCATAACAGGAATTTTCTCAAATATAAATTAATATTGTAATATATTGGCATATTGTGCAAATATACGCATAGGTTAGGTTAGGTGTTTAGGTTCTGTTGGCGATTATTTGTATTTGTAGTACGTGAGTAAAGCATATACAGCGTTGTGATTCGAACAAAATTCGTCAGTGAAGCACTTGTTCCGGAAGTGTTAAAACGAAATCAGTTGTGAGTCGTGTGTAAACCGTGTTTCACTCATAAACAGGGGTTTGGCAGGTGCATGAATCCCTTTTGGGTCTTTGTTTGGAGGACGGCCTGGATAAACGATCGTGGTGCTTCAAATTAAGGATAACTTCCTCAAATTTGATGTGTATACATGCACGGGAGAAGGTGGTACAGTCTCCGTGGTGTAGTGGCAAGACACTCGCCTGGCGTTCCGCGAGCGCTTTGTCATGGGTTCGTATCCTGGCCGGGGAGGATTTACTGGGCGCAAATCCTTAACTGTAGCATCTGTTTAACGCAACAGTAAAATGTGTACTTGGTTGTAACAATGATTCTTCGCGGTGGGGATCGCATTCCAGGGACCTGCCCGAAACGTTACGCGAACTAGTGGCTGTACAAGAATGTAACAACTCTTGTATATATCTCAAAAAAAAACGGTAGGATGGGCGTCACTGCAACTGAGGCAGTGGGCCTGGGAAGAAGAGCACTCCATCTTAGAATGACCTGAGTCCCCACACATTGGGCATAGAGACTGCATTTGTGCTTTTGAGGGCACCATGCCTAAATTTCCAGTACTTATTGCAAAGTCTAGGAGAGGGAATGTATTCCTGAACATTCCAGACTCCTGAACAGTCTGGCACCAGCAAGAATTACAGAAGGCAGAAGGGTCCTACTATCAAAAGTGATCTTCACAATTCGAAGAGGCTGATAACGACGACCACGAGGGGGTCGAGTGAACATATCAGCCTGGAGGACAGAATGGCCTTGGGCTTCGAGGATATGCTTAATACCCTCGTGACAGTCTTCCAGGTCTCTAACGCCAGTTGCAACATGGTGCAAGAGGAGAACAGTGCCAATATTGACATTTAACCAGACATTTTTGGTCCTAACAGGGGTCTCTCAAATGCTGGACAATGTGGGTAAGTGGGCAGCTGCATCCTGAGAAGGAGCAACAATTACAGGTGTACCAAAACGGGGTGGGGTTAAAAGTAACAGAGGAATCCACTGAGTCAGCGAGGTGTTTATGGAGGTTGAAATCGTCAAGAAGTGTAGAATCCAGATGGTTGAGATCAAAGTATTTAGTCCACTTAGCAGGACAAAATAAGGCGTGGAATGTATTAGCACTGGAAGGAATCATGTGAGTGCATCTGTGGGGTACTCATCGCCGAGTCCCCTTGTAAGAGGAGGGTGGGAGGTAAAAGATACAGTTGTCACAATGAGAGAACGAGTTACTCCAGGTGATAAGGTGGTCACCAATGGGAGGTCACCGAGGTCACCAATTCGTTCAACCCTACCTAAGAGAAGGGATGGGAGTGGAGGGTGGGGGGGGGGGGGGGTAATTGGGAGGGTCAAAGAAGCAGCTTGGTCTGGGCCCAATGTAGTGGGGGCTACAGAGCCTGGTCTTCAAACACAGTCTGACTCGGGGGCTTGGTCACCCATCCAATGAGCCTGGGAAATTATAAGAGGATCATTGAGGGGCATAAAAACGAGGAGGTAATAATTTAATTCACGAATGACCCCCCATACACACCATGGAACCACAATTAGGGGATAGGACACCCAACACGAAACAAGCGGAGGCCCCTAGTGGTGCTTCGTGAGTATATGCCCCACAATCGCCACCTTAAGAACCGTCAGTCCGTCGAGATCGGGTTTAGTAACGAAGGCAAGGTTTGACAATAAAAGTGGCCCCTCACTTGCAACGTCAGGTACCACAGTTCTATGGGTGAGAGAGTGTGCCTTCCTAAACACCTGGGCATCAAAATAGAAGATGTCCGAAAGAATATTCAAAATGACAAAAAGGTCAGCGAGAAAGACAATGAGAATGGAGAAGATGGGGGAGGAAAATTGAAACCCAAGTAAGAGGAAATAGAGACCAGCACAAATAGTGAAGATGACAGCAGGAGCATGTAAAGCTTCAAAAGGACAGGGAACCACCCCATGGACCATCACTCCTCGGCAGCCGCCTACCAAGCCCCTTCACAACGACAATGGGCTGGAAAGGGAGTGGGTAAGGTGGGAGAATGGGGTTTTAGATGAGCCGAGGAGACTTTTTATCTTCCTCCAGAGAGCGGCTGGTTCTCTCTCTTATATTGGGTGGCCTGATTAACTAGGGCGCCCCAGATGTGGCGCTTATGGAGTAGAATGTGGCCCATTACTTTGCATCTGAGGGCCTGTAGCATGTGCAGTGATGGGTGGCCTATGTTAGTACGCCTGGCGCATTCTTGCTGATATAACTGAGGGCCTTGGGGGCTCACTGCTGAATCTATGTCCTGGGCAGGGTAGTCGTAGCATGTGCAGTGATGGGTGGCCTGAAGGGGTGGAAGAAAGAGCCGAGGAAGGTTAGATTTCTTGCCATCATGAGGTTGAACAGGAATCTAACTCTGATGTCGTCTCTACCGGTGGGGGTGTTGAAGAATGCTGCGTGGTGGGCATTAAAGGCCCCTATTAGGATTGTCGGTATGTTTCTGTTGAGAACTTTGCGCATCGCCCTTGATGGTATGTCATACTGGCCTCGTGGAACGTAGGCCGTCAATACTGCCAGCGGGTCGTGATTGGTGGTCAGATCGATCGCCAAGGCGTTCTCGTTATGAAGGTGTATGGTGGAAAATGGGCAGCCCACTTTCACCAGAATTGCCATTCTTCTATTCGGACCCAACGTTCCTCCCAATCACTGTGTAGCGCTGTATCTTGATATGCTGGTAAGGGTGTACTGAAGTTTTGCTCAGCAGGAGTGACTCGAGGTGTCCTTGCTGAGTTCCAAAAAGTATATGTTGAAGGAGTGGCATGCGTTAATTTGGACAATCTTAAGGCCCATTATCATTTAGTAATGGTAGGGTAGGTGATGCGTCTTGGTTAACCTGAGGTTTAGTGACTTATTTGTCCCTCTTCCGTAGGGTGGATGGCACCAGCTCAAGTTTCTGCCCCTTCTGCCCCCCTTTCCTTCAGGTCGCGCATGTTTTGGAAGCATCAGGCTGGGTGTCTACGGTCTTGTGATAGGTAGGGATTGTCATTGTGTCCCTGCCTGCTATCCTAGAAGAGGGGTCTAGGTCTTTTGTGTCGCTCTCATTCGATGAGTCCATGATGTCGACTGATGCGTCCGAGGGGAGCGAGCATGAGGTTGAGGCGGATGAGTACTGGGTCTTGTTGAGGGTCAGCTTCCGTATTACAAGTGAGCCAGTGGGGGGGGGGGGGGGGGGGGGGGGTGGACGAGCTGTGGGTAGTTGTGGTTGGTGTTGTAGTGGTTGGTTGTGCTATTTCCTGGATTTGTGGTGTGGGTATCTGGGGTGGAATTGGTTCGTTGGGCGGTGAGGTGGTTGAGGTCTGCTGTGTTTGTATTGGTGCTGGCTCGAGCAGCAATACAAACATGTATTCACCAAGGGAAGGTTGTTGGCCTGAAATAGGCGGTTGATCTTGAGTATGAACCTCTGGGGGTCGTTCTAGACGACCCTATCGATTGCAATTATTTTTCCATGTCGTGGTACAGTTGACTAGAGTGCGTCTGGGAACATCCAGCACTGATGTGCACTGATTAGGTTCGAATCCTCATCAAGGCCCTTGTGGATTTGTTCACTGTTATCTTTTTATAGAAATAAACAAACTATTCACTGGTGAGGGAATTGATCTTACCTGATACGAAGATATGCGTTGTTCATACTCACTCAGTGTTTCTCTCATCTCTTCGATCTTGTTCTCAAGGCCCTTGATTGTCTCTTGTTTTAGCTTCCCTTGTTCCAATAATTCATTAACTGTCCTGTGATGCACATTCTGTGTGGGTCAGATTAAATTCATTTTTTCTACTATCCTCACTGTGAACGTTATGGGAAATAATTTCTACATTTAACACTTAATGCTAAATATTAGCATTAAAAATACGAAATATTAAATTAAACTACTACGAAGTATGTCTTCTGTTTACAATAACATAATTAAATTATAATAATAATACGCAGTAATATACATTATGGGCTGATGTAATAATCTCTTATGGATGTTGCCAGTTCATACCGCGCCACGAGACAATTGAGAACCTGAAGTTGTTCTTATTACGTCTCGTCACTAAATTAAGATGAGGATATTAAACCCAATACTTTATTAATTTACCGAGTAAATAACATTAATTTGATTGTTTAATAAATTAGAATTTAGTGACCACTCTTAAATAATCATTAACTGGTTAAAAATCTGGCACTGGTTAAAAAGTCAGGAAGTGTGGGAGGGCGGAGGCGGCTCGTCATTATGGATATTAACAAAGCCCATGTTTCTATCACTACATTGACGTTGACAAAATCACTTCATTAGCTGTCTTAAGGCCCAACAGCCTCGTTTAAGGTAACTACGCTGTTTTCCGCCTCACAGTTGATAAGTACCTAGCATGTTACGAGGTTCTGGCCATGTCTTGTGTATATAAGTTGCTGGGCATGAGTGTGGTTGGCCTACAGGACATCCCCATAATCAAAAGTGAGAATATGCCCGAAACGCTTTGCGTAATAGTGGCTTTAGGCATTGTATGTACTAGCTCTACCTATAAGTCAACCAATCTTTGTAATAATTTATTGTATGTATGTACCTTACCTAAATAAACATTTTATTTTATTTTACTTTATAATAACATCTTTTCAACTTTCAAACTGAAAGTAACAACTGCTGAAAGTGGGATTCTTTAATTACACAACAAATTTGGGACTTCCAAATATAATAAATATTCTACCAGCAGGAGAGAGATGGTTCCAGCAGTGACAGCCTTGAGAGAGGCAGCCATTTAATCCTTGGCGCATGCTCTGGTCTATGAATCTCCTTAACCCCAAAGCTGTTTTAAAGTTTACTAACAAACATGTTACATAATCTAGTGTTTTAAGAAATAAATAAATTAATTCTCAAATTAAATAAAACTTAAAGAACTGGATGATCTTAATGTAGTCACCAAAATAAATTAACCTCCCTCCCACTGTGTGAACCTTGTTGACCAAGTAAAATATATACTGTATTCCACTTGCTTTTAAAGAAATAAATAATTAACTTATCCACATAACCCCATAAATGCTATAGACAAAATAATAGTATTATGCTATGATCCATTTATATCACATCAAAAAATATGTGTTTACAAAATTTATGCTTAACAATACAAATAATGCATTTGCAGAAATAAATAAGTAACTTATCCACATAACCCTATAAATCCTATAGATAAAATATTAGTATTATGCTATGATCCAGTTATATCACATCAAAAATATGTGTGTTTACAAAATTTATACTTAACAATACAAATAATGCATTTGCTTGCCTGATTAATTGTTGTTTTCTGGTCTCGCTCACTGAACATCTGTGACATCTGACTGATTTGTTGTCTGAGTGCATCAATGGTGTGCTTGTTGTTATCGTCCTGCTGTGACATCTGACTTATCTGTTGTCTAAGTGCATCAATGGTGTGCTTGTTGTTATCGTCCTGCTCGAGCAGTAGTCGAACTCGACTCTCCAGCTCCTGGAATATTTTACGTTTACGTATCACCTAAATTAGGCTTCGTTTCGCATATACAATGACTAAATTTTCATAACATTACTTTATAGGCATCTTTTTCTTTCTGTAATTCAATTCATATAACTGTCTAAAGAATATTGTGAAGTAAACATATTTAAAAGCCACACGAGCTGGAGTTCCCTCTGGAAGGTAAGGAAGGAGCTCCCCCCACCCCTCTGGCATTAAACGAGTCTCAGACCTCATTATCGTCATCACCCCAGACTTCAAAGACCGTTCCTGTCACTGCATTCATCAGAACTCCACCCCTCAAGGTTATTCTGAACTTGGATTGACCACCTGTAAGTTCACATCAGATGTCTAGAGACACTCATCGAACAATCCTGACCCAACCAGGTCAGGAGCGTAGTTCAACTCAGGTTACACATGAGAGGTTCAATTGAAAACCTGGATGTAAGTCTAAGAGTGACTCACTAATACGGATGTATACATATGCTTAAAGAATGCAAAAAGGCGCTTTGGGAGCCATTGTCTACCATTTTTAACAAATCATTAGAGTCAGACAGAGTGCCAGAGTCATGGAAGGTTGCTAATGTGGTACCAATTTTTAAGAAAAGAGAGAGATCACTTGCGTCAAACTATTGGCCATTTAGCCTAACATCAACTGTGGCAAAGTTACTTGAATTGATATCTGCAAACATCATTCGTCTTCATCTTGAAAAACATCTATATAAATAAAAATGTAAATGATCGATTGTTCAATATCGCTAATCTCCGAAAGTTCTTAACCGATTGCGTTGAATTTTTCACACAATGTTCCATTCGCATCCGAGCAGGTTTTTATATACATATATAGATGTCACGTCTGTGACGAGAAAAAAAACATGCTTCTTTTGAAAAAAACTGTGTTTTTCATGTGTTTTTCATTTGAGGGTAATTTTTTGAAAATTGAAATTTTGACAAAACGTTGCATTCAAATAGGTGCATGTTTTTATATACCTACTATATACATGCCTCACCTGTGATAGAAAAAAACATGCTTTTTTGAAAAACGGCGCCATCTGTTGGACAGTGGAGCAACACACACAGTAAGCTCTGAAAGTTCTTCACCAATTGCTTTTAAATTTTGACACAACGTGTCATTCGCATATGTGCATGTTTTTATATACCTACTCTATAGATGCCATACCTGTGACAGGCAAAAACATGCTTTTTTTTAAACACTGCCATCTGTTGCACGTAATAGCAACACACGCTATTGTTGTAATCCACAAGTTAGTAGGAATTATTAGCTAGAGGATCATTACTACAACACTTAACGAATGATGATTGGAAGTACATGTAAGTAGACAGACTATGGATCACATATCTAAGAAAGGTCAATGGATTAAGACCGAAGCTGTTTAGCCAAATTAATAATTCCTGGAAAGAGGAATTATTCTTCGTCAGGCTTCTAGGATCAAGGTTACCGCTCTAGGGATAAGGTTAATCGGATTATACCTTCCTTGAGAGGCGGGGTGAAATGTTTGAGGCCATGGCTGACTGGAGTCAGTCTTGTTGTGGGAGTTGAACTGGCAAGTCCTCCGAGGTCTCCGTTTGTGGCAGCAGCGAAGTGTAGCAGACAGCTATGCGAGAGCCTGTTGTGATCTTAGTGACCAAGTTAAGTCTGCAGTATGTGAGTATTGAATGTAAGACTAACCGGGTGGAGCGTTGTAGTAATCATTCCATATTAGGGACTTAGGTGGAAGTTACGAGTGTGTGTGGTGATCGCGGAGGTCAAGTGGTCTATGGGTATTGGAAGTGTATTGACCTAATAGAGTATGTTAATATGTATTTATTTGTCAGAGTCTATTCTTTGTAATTAAATGACAAAACCCGACGGCCTTTAAATACCTTCCATATGTTCATTCATTGTGTTCCAGTACAAACCGAGTGGTATGCCTCAAGGGTCTGGTGTGTGTAAGAGTACACGTTGGTAGTAACGGTTGCTGAGGCAAGGTGTTATGTGTTGTGTATTCGCTGTGTTCGGAATGAACCGGGGTTCAGCGTCACGACACTATACCAAATATGTTACAATTCCATTTCAATGTTTCTGATTGCATTGATAAATTTAATTATCATAGATTTCGATTTATTTTCATTTTGATTTAATCATTGTGTGTGACATTGCATTGGAATTGAGCTGTGTTGTTTACCATACCATTTATTTTTTTAGTATAAGTATAGATGCCACCTGTGACAGGTAAAAAGATTCTTTTTTTTAAGAAACAACGCCATATGTTGCACGTAAGAGCAACACACACTATACTAAATATTTTACGATTCCAATTCAATGTTTCCGATTGCATTGACAAATTAAATTTTCATAGATTTTGATTTATTTTCATTTTGATTTAATTATCTTATGTGACATTGTGTTGGAATTGAGCTGTGTTGTTTACCATGCCGTTCATTTCGTGAGTATAAGTATAGATGCCACACCTGTGACAGGTAAAAACATGTTTTTTTTTAAACAGCGGTGGTAATTGGGGGTAATTGTGACAAGGATGAGGGGAAGGGGGAGTTGGGGATGGTGGGCATGAAGGGACAGGGGAATGAAGAACAGTGGGGAGGACAAGGGTACAGGGGATTGGGGGATGGTGTGGAGAACAACAGACAGGGGGAGGGGGAAAGGTATGGAGGACGTGGGAGTAGGAGATGATGGGGAGGATGAGGGGATGGTGGAGTGAGAATGGTTATGAAGACGAGGGGACTGTGGAGTGGGGGATGATGAGGGGACGTGGGAGTGAGGAATGGTTGAGAGGATGAGGGGACGGGGAAAAGGTTGAATGGTGGGGAGGACTGGGAGACAGGGAAAGGTTGCTGTGGCTCAGCAACGCTCATGCGTTGCTGAGCCACAGCAACGCGTGGTCGGGTACAGCTAGTTATTTAATAAATAATTCACAACATGATTTTACAAACGGCTGTTCATGTTTAACAAATTTGCTATCATTTTATTCCAGCATAGTTGAGGCAGTTGACAGTGGTAAGGTTTGTGATGTTGTGTACCTAGGCTTTAGCAAAGCTTTTAATACATTGTCACATGAAAGATCGATTAAAGAGATAGAGGTTCATGGTATTGGGAATGCTATATTAAGTTAGATTAGGGCATCTATCTTGAGGTTATCTTGAGATGATTTCGGGGCTTTAGTGTCCCCGCGGCCCGGTCCTCGACCAGGCCTCCACCCCCAGGAAGCAGTCCGTGACAGCTGACTAACTCCCAGGTACCTATTTACTGCTAGGTAACAGGGGCATTTAGGGTGAAAGAAACTTTGCCCATTTGTTTCTGCCTCGTGCGGGAATCGAACCCGCGCCACAGAATTACGAGTCCTGCGCGCTATCCACCAGGCTACGAGGTATGGCATGGCCATACCCAATGAAACAAAGAGTTAGTATACATGGAGTTAAGTCAGACTGGGAAAATGTTGTATGTGGAGTGCCTCAAGGTCTGTCCAGGGACCTCTGTTATTCATAATAAATATAAATGATTTTGATTCAGGTTTGAGCAGAAATATTTGCAAATTTGCCGATGCTACAAAAATCTGGAGGGAAATAAACACGGAAACAGATTCGCTATCACTTCTAGGCGGTCTTAATAGGGTTTTGAAATGGTAAAAAAATTTGCAGATGCAGTTTACTGTTGACAAATGAAAGGTTTTGAGGCTAGGTAATGATGATAGTTACCAGATACGAGCTAGATGGTGATGAGATTGTGAAGTCGGTTTGCGAAAGGGATCTGGGAGTTATGGTTAGTAAGAATTTAAAACCAAAAAATCAATGCATAAATGTTCATAATAAGGCAAATAAGACACTGGGATTTATTAATCGAAGCGTTAGTAACAAGACACCTGGTGTTGCTCTTCAGCTCTATCTTGCTCTGGTTAGTCCCCATTTATATTATGCAGTTCAGTTTTGGTCGCCGTACTATAGAATGGATATAAATTTACTAGAACGTGTCCAGCGTAGAATGACAAAGTTAATTCCCCAAATTAGAAACCTGTCATATAAGGAAAGATTAACAAAGCTTAAATTACATTCTCTAGAAAGGCGAAGAATTGTGTGTTTCATGATAGAGGTTTACAAGTGGATGAATGGTCATAACAAAGAGGGTATTAAAAGGTTATTACAAGCATCATCACAAGATAGAATACGAAACTGTGTATAAATTGGATAAGGTTATATTTAAGAAAGACCTGAATAAATACTGGTTCGGTAACAGGGATGTTGATTTGTGTAACCAATTACCGCGTAACGTGGTAGAAGTGGAGTCCCTTGATTGTTTCAAGCGTGGGTTAGACACACACACATATATATATCTGACTGGGATTGAGTGGTTATGAATAAGAGCTGCATCGTATGTGCTAATAGGCCTTCTGCAGTTACCTTTATTCTAATGTTCTTAAGTATACTCAGTGAGGCTCTTGTAGTTAAATGCCTTTAGGGCGGTTTAAGATTGTCTCGAGGGTTATATTTAATCGGCTTGGAACTGACCTAATATCTGCGAAAATATACTCTCTCTATATATTCCAGTCTTATACACAAAATATTTTAAGGCGACCCTTTCATTATTGTTCAGTAACATCACCAAGAATAGTTCTTACCTATCAGTACTAACCTATCAGTGTCTACGGGGGAGTGAGGTTTAGCTCTTTATGCCCCCGCCTTCATGCTTTATGCCTTTTACCTGTTGTGTTTCACCTCTCAACTACTCTGACTTTCAAATTATCTTTCGAATCGGCCCTTAAAGTTGTGGATGGAGGTGACTTTCATAATTTCCTCTTTTAGAGCATTCCACTTGTTAACTACCCATACAGGGAAGGATTACTTTCTTACATCCCTTCGACTCAATTGCGCTTCCAGCTTCCACCTGTGTCCTATTGTCCTGCTTTCTCTCAACTGCATCTTCCAGTATTGATCGAATAAATGTTGTGTAGATTGCTATGAAGAAGTCCTGATTCAGGTTCCTA